TTTGCCATGAAGAAAAGCTAAATGGATTTCTACTTTGCTCAATAAGGCAGAATGGCATGCACTGTATTTTGCTTCCATGAAAGCAATTAACACATTTTAAAAAACTGGCCATTTAAGTCATAAACTTTACCTGTTTGGAAAATTGGTTAATTTAGTACAGATTATTTTCCAACTGTCCTAGACAAAGTATTACTATAATGTTGCCATGTGTCTAATACTATGGAATAAAAATAAGACCTTTAAAATCATTTTGTAATTTTATCGTCCTTATACTCTTCAATAAAACTGATACAATTCTATTTAAATTTTAGAATAGGCGATAAAAATGCAATCATATGTTTTGTTTCCTAAGAAATGCCAGGTTAAAATGAAGAAATGTGATTGTTTTGAATACTCAATTATTTTGAATATTTTCCTGCTATATGTTATAAGTTATTTTCTTCTTTTTTCTATTTCATAGGCACCAGAAGTTCAGGAGGACACATATAGTGATAATACAACCTAAAACCTACACATGCGATTTTGAGATGACAACAGTTATTTGTAGATTTTAGACTATGTTCCATACTGCTAGACTGAGTACGACATGTTTGCCCTAACATCTTTTCCAAGCTTACAATATGGTCTCTAGTTTCAAGTGATGACAAAGACAGACTGGTAATCAGAAAGCAGGAAATTAATTTTTGAAAAATCCTTAAAGATTCCTTTGAAGTCTGATGTAACATCACCTCTTCAAGTACACTAACTGCACTTCCTTCAATGATTTGTTTTTACATTATTCTATTTACTCTTTAACTTTCTAAATTTAATTTGAATTGCATTTACACAAATGCATTTTTCTATATACACCCAACTATCCAGACCATGAACTTACTAGGTACACGCTGCTGAGATTTGAATGGAAGCAGTATGGCTCAAGCAAATGCAAAAAAGACTTCAAAGTTCTGAGTGAATTTGCATAGAGACATAAATTCTCCAGGATATTCAAAGCCATAAATTTGCTGCAGGACATATATAGCTCTCTCGTGGCTCACGGAAGCACAACAATTCTCTTTATTTCACATTTGTCTATTACCACGTTTTCTCCAAGAATCTTCACAGGCTCTCCTTCTTTGCCCGCACTGTTTTTATTTCTATATTCAGAATGTGCTAACGGGTAGCGGTTGCATTTACAAAGTTAATAGTATTGGACAAGCTAAATGAATTTTAAACCCAGTTCTCTCCTCCTCCCTGTGCCCTGCCTAGACACACGCAGAGGTTGGGAGGTATAAACTATGGGCACTACCTGAGTTAAAAATGAAATAAAGAGTTTTTGCTTTTCAAAATTGTTGGATTAAATATGGTTGACCGTAAGAAAGATTTTATTTGGCTGTTTGAAATATATGTGTGTATGTATACATACAAAATATATATAATTTATAGTATGCATAACAATATATACATATATAAATATATGTAAACATAGGTATTTCATAACCTATGTGTATATATATTTATATATAATTTATATATATATATAAATTATATACATATGTATAAAACAAAAGTAAACAAATACGTTGTTTGGACCAGAGGACAGAGGACAGCATTTTCCATTCAACATAAAAAGGAAACAATTGACTTAAAATATACCCCCTTAAGCTTCAGTCATTACTGAAAGTTTCAAAAGAGAATTTAGAAGAAAATGGCAGTTTATTTGTTTTTTAAAAACTCATACCAAAATATGAATTTCTTTTCCTAAATTAATCTCGGGATCCTGGATAAATGTCACAATGTCCCCATAGAGTGATAAAGGGTGAGAATCTGGCCCTGGATGACTACTATGAAGTGATTTCATAAATATTTCAAGTAATTGTCTTTCACTGTTTTAAATCACTGTTTTAAATGGCCATCCTCCTGTTTTGGTCTGCCTTCCATGCTCCCCCTCACCCCCCATTTAAAAATAAAAGATATTGTTGCCAAACTGCCAAGCCTTAATCATTATAATAAAATAAACACCCCCTTTTCAATGCAAAAGAAAGTTTATCTAAACATGTACTAGCTCTTTGTACGTAAGCTGCATAAAATTCACTCCAAAATATCTTATGCAAATATGAAAGCATAAAGCAGTTATTTCATGACTAAACATTATTTTGCCTCTTCATCTTTCCAATTTATTTTCATACACGTACAACCTATAATGTAGACAGATGCACACTTGATGCAAATTAAAATAACATTTTTCCCATCAGCATTGTAACTGCTGAATTGATATATTTTAAAATTTTAATGATATAGACAAACAGTCTGATCACGATGCGTTAAGTTTATTTAAAAATATGCTTTGGAAATAAAAAAGCAATATGAACAATAAAAGTGAGTACACATTTGTTTGGTTCAGGTCAGACTTTTCTATGATGTGATCACACATTTTACAAAAGTGTGAAATTTCGTGCATGGAAAAAGAAGACTTTTGTCCTGCCTGTGACATTTATGAGGATCACTTCACAATCCAGATTTAACTGAAAGGAAAAGTCATAGGAAGTTGAACATGTTGAGTTCAAAATAGCATTGTCTAAAAAGTTCCAAAGAAAATTAATAACAATTATGAAAATTAAAGTATTTAAAGGATGGGACCCCCAAATAAATTATTTCTTTGATAAGATGTTTAACGATGAAATATAGAAAGAAGAATCTCAAAACTGAAACCCTCTCTTAAAATGAAATGAAAATATAACTTATTAAAACTGTCCTTATGATATCATGTGGGGTATGAACAAAAGAACTCCATTATTTAGTTCCAGATACCTCATTTAAAATACATTTCTTAAAAATGTGAAAATCCTCAAAAAGTTGAAAGTCTTGATATTCAGCTAGATGTTTCAACCCAGACACCTCTCTGCAATCAAAAACTTTCCTCAAAATGGAATTATTTAGAAGCCCCAAACCAGTTTTTTCTCTCATGACATTATTCCATTGGAACAAAACACCTACGTTTCAAATTGAGACAACATTAAGAAGATTTAATAAACTAGTTAAGGGAAGCTGAAAATCGCGAACACCCTTCCAATTTCCACAATGAGTTAAAATAGCCAATCCTCATCAGTGTCTTTTATAGAAATAAAATCAGGCGCATCATGAAATCTGTCACCGTACCTGCGTTTACTTTAAACGACTACGGCACACACGCTGTTAAGATCTTCACTCTGAGAAATAAAGCACACTTTATGTAACTGCTGCAAAACACTGCTGCAGAGGAGCCCAGTGCATTTATTTTTCGGGCAACCGATCCAGCCTTTCCACCAGCCCTGTGACCTCTGAACTCCCTTCTGCCCCCCTCCTCTCGCTTCTGCAGTCAAAGCCTCGGAGCTGGTCTCATTTGCATAAGGCTCAGGCAGCCCTCCAGCAGCTGAAACGGAATGCTGGGTAAGGAATTGTGGAACTGCGGTTCTGCCAGAATACCTGAATCGCCCGAGAGCTGGAATACGCGATGGGGAGTGGGCACCAACTGCGCCGGGCTGTCCGCATCACACCCTCCCGCCTCCCCACCCCACCCCCGCGTCTATTAATGGATAAGTGTTTTTTAACTCTTTGTTTTGGAGTGCTGCTTTCCCCCCTCCCCACCAAAAAGAAGCTGTCAGCAGCGACAGTGGTAACCAAGGAAACTCAAATAGTCAAATACTTCATTTAAATACATGTGGAAGGCCAATTTAAAATTTTCATTAACTTCTCTTGTTTTTGAAACATAGCTATTTTTTTTCCCCTTCGAATACATAGTACACGCATAATCAGGGACATAGGGTATTTCTTTTTGTTGTGGTTTAAACAGCATCTTACAGGCATACAATTATTTGAGTCACTATACAAATACATGAAGTCACCGGTAATTCTATAAAATGTTAAATGTACTCTAGTGCCTTAGAGAAGATCATCCTAAATGGTGTCCAAGAAATTAATTGTAAAGAATTTAGGTCCCACGATGCCTTTAAAACAATACAGCAGTAAAAATGCAGAGCAAAGTTAAACTATGTGTTTTAATGTAAAGATTCATGCAGCAGTAATGCTTGTATGTCTTTGACAGAGATGTTCAGTGTTGTGCTATTATTTGCTAGAGTTACTTCTTCCTTGTCTTCCTACACACAGCAATCTCTCTATTTAAAACATAAACTCTCTTGCTCATAAACCTAAGAAGTGGTTATTTTCTAGATACAGAAGGTCATGTGTGTACATATTTTTATAAATACCCATGAAGGCACATATTCTTCTTTTCTAAATGGTGAGTCAATGGAAATATGCATCATAACATAATTAATCAATTCTTCTTTTTTAAATTAAGCTAATTTGTTTTCTCCACTAATGAGTGAATATTTATGAAATAAAAGGTTTAATGCAATAATATTTTCCATCTATCAAAAGAAATATAACATGCAAAATAAAAGGCACACAACAGATTACTATAGATATATACTATATTATAGTTAAATATAAAATGCATTATTCTGGGAGATAGCATTATTAACATTTCAAAATTTTCTTGGTTTTAAAATTTTTTATTTAAATAATTAAATATACTAAACCTCTTGCAGTGCACTGAAAGACATCAATAAATTTTGAAGGCTATATCATCCAAATCATAAGACACAAACTATTGCAATACAGGATTTTTTAATACCGGAAACATTAATGTGAAGCTTTTTATTTGAGCTATTTGTTAGTAGTATTCTGCTTTATGTTCTTTCTGAATCATAGAAGATTAGAAATTATTGAATGATTTTTAACCCATAAATTTTTAAATAGAATAAATAACTTTTCAGTTTACTATAATCATATAAACGTTTCTCTATCACATCTGACTACATCAGCCATTTAATTGAATTGGGTCAATTCAAGTGCATCCTTCATATTACACACTGTAAATATCTTGCAAAGTTTTTGTTTAAGGCAAAACACACATCAGACCATCCTAATTTAAATCCAATCAAACACAAGGAAGTGTAGGAGTAATTTATAAAATCACTGACCTGTTCAAATAGCTGTAGTCTTAGTCCTTGCACTCTTTATTCATTAGAATCCAAAATAAATTGATTATCATTTTATAATGTGTGTCAGCATCACCGAAGGCACTGTTCTTCCTGGTTCAGCGGAATCTTCTGAAATTTGCCAGCCCTGTGTTTTATTGCTGGTACCGTATGCTTTATTGTTCAGCGACAAGAGCTTCACTCTGCACAAAGACTCATTACCTACTGCTTGCTGCACGGCATCAGCCTCACTGAGGCTGCCTATATGTGATCACATGGGAGTTTTGTCTGAGAAAGCCAGGCATGCCACTGACTTCACTGTGTGTATGGATATTTTTATCAGCTGAGGTCTGCTAGGAGGAAGGAATAACAGATTAGGAAGCTGCTCTAAGTCATTAATGCAGCACAACTTATGGAAATCCCTTCTCAAGATTTTTTTTTATTATAGAAAGCGTTTGAGCAGGCATTCAAAAGAAGTTCACTAGATTTTATTTTAATAAGAGGCTGGATAATAATTTAAGGAAGGGGAACTAGCAAAGAGCTATTTCCTACCTTCTGCTTTCTGAAAGTACTGTTGTACAAATGTTATTAAAGAGCCTTGCTTAACTGAATGATTTGACAGTATGTTTTAACCTTTAGATTGCTGGTGTTTATTTTTATTGGAGGAGGTTGCTCTCTAAAAGGATAAGTGGCTGTTTCCCTAAAAATCTCCTCAATGAAAATCTCAATCACTAATAGATACAATATATGAATAAAAATAAGATATATGAATAAAAATATGGATGTTCTAATTATTTTTGATAAAGTAGATGAGAGGGTGAGTCTCTTTTATTGATGTATATTAGTGAGGTAGATGATTAATTTATCTTCTCAAAAGATGACACATCCCTAGAACAGCTGACTTAAAAGAACAATGAAGATTTCAATTTAAAGATCTAAAGGACATGTGGTTCATATTAATTCTTAAAATCTCAGTAACTTATTTTAGACCGCTTACCTCAATAAAGCATATGGTTTACCTTATCTGATTTCAGTGTTAACAAGTAGTTTCAGAGCTGAGTACTCAACATTTACAGGAATTTTCTGCTATGTAAATATTGAATTAATACATATACATACACACACATAGGTATAGTCAGATTATCTTTCTAAAATACATTTAAAAATAATTACCTAAAATTATTTCTCAAAATTTGAAAATGGATTGTGTATTTCCAAATGAAAAAGCTATTTAATAATTGGAAGTTGATGAAAAAAATAAACTTATCTCTTTAATAATCTAAATTGAATTTGTAACTGAAAGCTTGTTGCTTGTTAATCTCAATGGAAATCCTATGACAAGTACATGCAATGTGCAACAAAGAGCACAGAAAGAAAAGTCAGAAGCATCATAAATGAAGATCAGAAAATAAATTTTCTGTACAGTTATATAGTACATTTTAATAGTGTTTGTAAGTAATACAGTAATCTTAAAAATAGTAAATCTGTATACCTGCTTAAACCTTCCATTAATGAGAAGTTATTTTTTGGAAATAATTGTAACAAAATTTTTTGTGTCAATGGAAATTTTTAAAAATAATTTAAAGCCAGAATAGGCACATGTGGCTAAATATTTTAGCCAGTCTCTAAATACAATGATTTAACATCATGCTTTATAATATTTTTTGTAGTGGTAGCATTGATTTAGAATGTTTCATGACTTAAATAAATGCCTTTTCATGGATTTTTCTTAACATTGAAAAAATATTCAGATATGTTTTAAATGCCACCATTTTAATGCATTTGTTCCAAAATGCTCAAGTTCCTTTTTCCCCCTGCACACAAGAGCTACACTAAAGCTGCAAAACCTTGGGGCATTAAGAGGAAAAGGAAAACAGAGTGTTTCTGGCTTATAGTGTACCTCTGGGTTCTTAAAGATATGTACATTCTAGCTAATATCTTTGATGATGTCATCATGTTAATGTACAAGGAAATAAACAAAAGGCAGCCATTTTTCTCTTACTGCATCACTTCAAAAACAGTGAAATAAAATGGTTGCCAAATGGAAGGAAAGAATCAGTAGAAAACTGTTACTTCCAAATTCTTGGGATAGGGAGGGGCAATGGGTGTGAAATTAGAAATAAAAATCCATATATGTGAATTTTGTATGAATGTATGTGAAGAAATAATTTACAGTAAGAAAGAACTATAAATAAATACAAGGGATATAGAAATAGCTAGCAATTAAAACAAATTAGTAAAATAATGTCTCCAATGGAAAGATTATAGTCTGTAAACAATGTATTAAATGTAAAAGCTTACTAAATTCATTAATGTTGAAAAAGGTATTTAAAGGTGGACAACATAGTTGGAAAGACCTAGAAAGAGATAAAATGATCATGAAACAGTAGTAAGCTTCCCAGGTCTACTATTATCTTAAATGACCTTGGTGAGTTATTTTATCATCTTATGCCTTATTTGTCAAGTCTGCCAAACAGGAACAGAAAAATTTTTGGAAAGCATGTCATGGAAATATATAGCAATATTTTTATACTTCAGTTCCCTAAATTGGTTTTATTCAAGCATTGTCCACTAATATTAGTAAAATGAGAAAAAATGATGTAAAATTCTAATGATTATTTAAAAGAATTTTTAAATGCATTATCCTAATAGCCAAGACAAACAGGTATAATAAGTAGATAGGACTTTTGGAAACAAGAGGCAGTTTTTTCCTAATACATACAGAAAAAAAATAGAAATGAATTTAGTAAGTAATTTGAAACAAATCTCATAAAATTGCCTCAGAATTAAAACAAATTATAAAATATACCCATCCTTCCAATCAAAATTCTGGAACTCTGTCAGCGACATGACAAGACAATTGCAATAGAGTTTCTGATTCTCACATTACACAATGAACAACAGTGCCTCTGCTTATACAACAGTTTCATCACCCAAGAGTTCTTTAAATTTGAAATCAACAGAGAAACACAAGATCACAGCTTAAAGAAGGAAATTCCATTCAAGATTAAAAGGACGTTTTAATTTACTTTGTATATTAAAAGCTGCGAATTCAAAAAGATATGTCAATTCTTATTATTGACTCTTAGTAGCTTGGCTTTTCTCTAATGACAAAGAGGCATAATAGAATCATTTTGTCTGCCCCCCTTTTCTCCAAAATAACTAAAGCTTGTCAGAAGTAATCCAGAATGTTTGCTATCCAGCTCCTGCAGTAATTTGGGCATAGACATGCTAAATGGATGGTCTCTTGAAATTTCTACTGCATGAAGGAAGATGGAAAAGATTAACTGATACCATCACCTGTGTTTTCTAGAACTGTATTAGTTGGCATATATATATATATTAATATATATATATCAGTACCTCCTGTTGGATTTACCCTTGATAAGGCTGGATTTTCTTGCTACCTTTATCTTTCTTTATGGTATGTTCAGAGAAGTCATTAAGTTGGCCATGTCAGACTCAAAATCCAGGACTAATTCAATTCAATTCAGCAAACATTTATTGAGAGTTTACTGTGTACCAAGCTCTGAGACAGTTGCTAGGGATATAAAAAATGAAATATACATTGTACCCAAGAAGATTGTAGTCTATCTAGGTTAAAAAAAAAAAAGTGCTGAGCAAGGTACGGGAGGATGGTAAAGTAGAGATAATGTTTTCTAAAGTGAATATTTTGTTGACAACATGCATTATAGGTACAATCAATACAATTTCTTTTCAATATTGTTTCCTAAAGTCAGAAAATCATTACTATAATTAAAGTCATTTATCAAAAGACTTTATCATTTATTTAATCTCTATATCTATATATTACATATAATGGCTACATATTCCTATGCTATCCTTCTCATCAAGAGGTTGAATCCAATTTCACTTGCCTTTACTCTAAGCTAGTCTTAATGATTTGCTTAATCCAATAGAGGCTGCAGAGGTGATGTTTTAGAAATTCCAAGGTTAGGTCCTAAGAAACTTTAAAGCTTCTACTTGGGCCTCTTGGAGCCTCTTGAGTCTTCCAGGAGCCTTGAGTTGCCATGTAAGAGGATTAATTACCCTAAGACTGCCTTGGAGAAGCCACATATAAGCACTTTGCTCAAACAGTCCAAACCGAGCCCAGGGTTCCGGCCATTCCTGATGCCTAACATGTATGTAAAGCCACCTTGGACCCTCCAAACCTACCCATCCACCAAACGGATATCATGAAGTGACCCTAGTTGTCACTATGTGGAGAAGCGCTGAGCTGAGTTTTTCTCAAATTCTTGTCCTACAGAATTCATAAGATGTAATAAAATGGTTGCTGTTTTAGACACTAAGTGTTGTGGTAGTTACTCAGCAATTGATAACTGGAACCTATTTACATGTGTATGACAGAGACAACATAATAAACCTAAAAGTACATGAAAGGACTGTCTGATACATATATTCAGTGAAATGGATGAATTTAATGGATGCATTAAAAGAAAGTACAACTTAGGAGGGCAGAGAAAGAAGCAAAAACAAATTCAGGGTGTGTCCAAAGCACATAAGGACTGATTTATCTAAGAAGATTGTATTGCAGGAATGGGGTTTCTGAACTAATAGGGAAGAGATTGCCTCACTAGCCAGGAGAAAAGGGAATTCCCAGTAATGGTACTTTGGGAAAAGCCCAGAAACATGGGCAAGAGCTTTACTAACTACAATGAGAGGACTTTGAGGAAGTGTTTTGGGTAACAGGAGATTTAGGCATGTGTTGGGAGGTTGAAGGAGAAAAGGAAGTCTGGTGCCCCTTCTTGGAGTGCAATGAAGCTTGAAGTGAGGAGATTTTTGCAACATATGAGATGTTGGGAAGTGACCAAGGCATAGGAAAAGCGGTATAGTCAAAGTGATGAATAAAGAAAGCAACTTTGGCAGTTGAGGCGTGTCTAGACTCGTAGAGCACCAAGGCAGCACGGAGGTTGAGGAAGAGGAGTTAAGAAGATATGATGAAAGCCTGAACTAAAGGTGACAATTGAGGAATGAGGAGAAAGGAATTCGTCAAAAAGAAAGAAGGAATTTTATATTGGTTGGATAAGCCAAGCTCTGATCTCATTTATAGCCTTAAAAGTCAATGGTTTTATGATTCAGTTACCAATTATATATGACAACTAGAGAGCATTTAACTAGTTTAGTTAGACAGATTTAGTAATTGTACGGGTATTTTGATTTGTACTGGCCTCAGTTTGTCTACTTTCAAATATTGTGAAAATTTGTTAATATCAAATATTGTTAATGTTGTGTTTG